TATCACATTGAAGTGCTTGGAATTTGAGAAAGCAGATGGAATGGAAGTGGACTCTCCAAACTGTCAACTGGAGAATCAATAATCTACTCCGATATTGTCACACAGACGACAACCACGAGCACACTGAGTTACAGAGTGGCTATCATGATGTCCCATTGAAGAGCATCGAAGGCTGTCTCTCATGCAGTGGGAACCAATCTCCTCCAGGATCAGGTACATGACAGTAAGGTTCAACTCAAAGGGAAGGAAGGTAAGTAAAAATCATACAATGCTACCCTATGCACCTACAAATAATGCAGAGCAAGAGAAGAAGTAGGAATTCTACAGACAACTGCAATCAACACTGGATAAGACACCACTCAAGTTGGCGATATCAAATTCTAATGGGCAACATGAATGCCAAACTGGGAGCAGACAACACAGGAAGAGAACTAACCATGGGTCGATAAGCGCTCGGTGAGGTGATGAACGAGAATGAAGAATTGTTTGCAGAATCCTGTGCATTCAACGATTTGGTGATTGGAGTCAGGCAGTGTGTTCAGACGCAGAGACAACAGCATCGGACATGCTCACACCACATCACTATTGCAGAAGATGTGGAAGGAAGAGAAAGTACCTGCCTGTCGATTGGGAGAAGGGTTACCTTGCCAAACTCCCGAGGAAGGGAGACCTCAGTGTTTGCAAGAACTGGCACAGAATCACTCTCTTGTCCACCCACACCAAGCAAAATATTAAGCCGCATCATTCTGGAGAGACTAAAGGATGCACTGGATTCAAAACTACGACCGGAACAGGCTGGCTGGCTGCCTTCAGGAAGTACAAATCATGTGAAGACCAAATTGCAACACTACACTACGCATCATCATAGAACAGAGTGTAGAATGGCAGTCAACTCTATACCTCAACTTTATCGACTTTGAGAAGGCCTTTGACAGCGTCGACCGAGAGGTAATTTGGAAACTGCCTCATTACTACGGGATACCGCAAACCTTTATCAGCCTCATTCAACAACTATATGAAGATGCCACATGCCAAGTAATTCACAATGGGAAGCTCAGTGATGCTTTTGCACTGGAAGTGAAGACAGGAGTGAAACAAGACTGCCACCTACTATCACCCATGATCTTCCTGATTCTGGTCGACTGGATCATGCAGCAAACAGTGGGGAGCTGTGAGAAGAGGGGGATACGCTGACTGGACTGCGGAAAGGAACCTAGGAGATCTGGATTTCGCCAACGATGACTTGTGTCTGGTGTCACACAAACTTGGAGATCCACAGGCGAAAACTAACAAGTTGACAGAAGAGACAGTGAAGACAGGACTTCAGGTTAATATAGAGAAGACAGAAGTGATGAAGATACCACACCAACAACTTCAACAACAAACTCCAGTCACCATCAACTGGAGAAACTTAAAGGAAGTAACCTCCTTCACCTATCTAGGCAGCACTGTTTCAACTACAGGCACAGACGACGATGTCAAAGTCAGCCAGGATCGGAAAGACAGCAAGACAGGTGTTCATTAGCCTGAAACCAGTGTGCAGATCTTCTGCACTCCTCTCAGCATGTCGAACAACATCCGGAACAACATCAACACCAACGTCAAATCAGTGCTTCTGTATGGTTCAGAGACTTGGCGCGTTACGAAAGGGATTTCCAACAAACTACAGACATTCATCAACAACTGCCATCTACACTGGCTCGTTACTGAAGATTAGATTGCCAGGATAAGAAGAATAAGCAACAAGGAGCTCTGCGAACGAAGCAACCAAGAAGCTTTCGCTCAACAATTATGCACTGGAAGGAAGTGGAGTTGGATTGGGCATACACTGAGAAGGCCGGCTGGGGACATCACGCGTCAAGCCAGTTGCTCGAGTGGAATCCTCATGGGAAGTGACGAGTTGGACGTCCAAGCTGAGGGTGACATGGAGGAGATGGTGCGAGGAGGAAATGAGAGCTTGTGGGCTGTCGTGGAGCCAGGTTGAAAAGATTCAGAGAACAGAGTTCACTGGAGACGTGCTACTGAAGCCCTATTTTCCATTAGGAACCCAAAGGACTAATAATAATAAAAAATAAAGGTATACACAAGTGTATAAGAGAATGAACAAATGAAGCTTGGCAAAAATATTTGGAATTCTTAAGCTGTCAAAGAATGGATTTATATAAACTTGTAGAACAGTTAAAGCTATCCTTATCGTTGAAATGTTTGAAAGCGAAGTAAGTAAAGAGTACTTACTTTTATTAAGAGTTAGGGAATTCCACATACTGGTCTCATCAGAATCAATAATTTTTATCAACACCAATGAAGGAGCCACGAAGCCTAATTCCTTACGAAGTAACACGAAGGATGATACCTACAATAAGGTTGAAAGCTTGCAGGAGAGAACTCAAGCTAATAGTAAAGCAAGGAAACCAACTACAGAACCCTATCAAGTTTTAAAAATTTGAATCCGTGTGAGTATGCCTTTGTATTAAGCTATTAAATAACCACCAGGCTTCAAAGTAAGCGACCGTAGTTCCAAGTCAGGTACCAGCTTACTTGACTTAATTCAAACAAAAAATAAATTACGTCCGAAACACTATCCGGTAAAGGATACTGTTTCACTGTGACATTTCTAACAAACAGACTAAAATGGAATTACAACCTACCGTAGTGCCCAAGTTTCACTATTGTAACATAAGTCATCCACAAATTATTCTACTCAAGATTCGACAGTTTTTCCAAAGTCAAAAAGTCAAGTTAAATCAAGATGCGCACTTTCGAGATCTCCAACCGTCATGATAAAGTGAAGCATATGGCTAGTAACTTGGAATGCCCTATATTCAATATTATACAGTATAGTTGCCTTCCCAGTATCAGCTCAATACAACTTATGGGATCCTCAGTTAGTCTACCTAAACACATTCCATCAGTTCTTTTATAAATAACCATTTATAAATTTGCTGTCTCTTTGAATCTCTAACCACTTTTCATCGATATTCCTGCCTCGACGCTCACTACCTCCACTGCCCTCTTTTGCTGCGATCTATGGCAAATGAAAGCACTGAGTTTTAGTATGAAGTTCAACGTTGAACTGTTCTTTTACACCAGTTAAATTTCTTCCTGTTCACCAGAAATATTTGCAAGTTTCATTGTATTCCAGCACCCACCTGATCATTTTTTATCCTGTCACATCTGAACAATCCAAGCAACAAACACTACTGAAAACACCAACATACTCTTAGAAAGAATGACACATATCACATGATCGTCCCTTATACACAACTCTTGTTTCGTACCGCCATGACAAGTACGAACATCCAATCTCTTCAGAATCTTAACCATCAAAATATCCCAACTGCTAGCCACAGAAGCAAATTCATATCACCACTTGAGACTTCTTTCAAATAATACAGCTGACAGTTTCCACACAAACGGCACTAAGGTGCCACCATATCTCAACCACCTCAGCTGATAAAAGTCCAGAACCCCACCAACTGAATCACTTCAGATGCATTCTAGTCATCAGCAGGTAATTGGATAAATCACCTGTAGTAAATTACATAAATCATAAAATATAAACAAACCTGTGTGCGTGCCTAGTACTCGCCAGCCACCGATCGACTACACGTGCTAGAGAAGTGGCTAATGGGACCACTCACTTCAGCAACAAGTGAACAGTAAGTCGATGCAAACCAATCCTAAAGCAGCAATTTGTATGTTAGGGGCTAGAAACGTCCCCTAACATTTAGTACAAGAAAATCAGGAGACTCTATTTTCACTCAACAGGTATGTCGGTTATGCGCTTTACAGGAACCAAGATATTATTACAACGGATAATCCCCATGAAGTAGAAAAGATGCTGTCTCCAGAAGAACACCTCTACTGCAGGCGGGAGAGTGAAGTCATCCGAGAATGGATACCAATTAGTTGATAGAAAATAAGTCTTATTAGCGTTAACATAACGAAGTGTTTGGGTAGAAAGGTATCAACAGTGCAACCGTCCAGACGAACAAGAAAAAGAGACATCTCTGTTCACACATCTAACTCTCAACTTTTTACTAGATAACTGATCTCACACTGTTCTACTATTCACTAAGCCGAGTCAGCTGGCTAATAACTCGTTATAACACGGTCAGGTCTCGCAAACAACTACTAAGCCAAGTAAGATAGACACGTGTCTCCTTATCTAGTGTTCGTTTGATTTGAAATCAACTCCGTATTTCTCTTATGCATAGCCTTATAAACTGGACGTACTTATTTGTCAACATTCAGGGGTATCAAAGAACAGAGCCATATTTGACAAAACAAGCCTAGGAATAAAGGACTTGTGACGAAGTGTCTAAGCCAAGTATGTGCACATACTTGTAAGATAAAATCATGCTCCAACTTACAAACCAATACTTACCAAACACCAACCTTAATTATAATGACACAAGCACTTACGGAGACTGAGGCCTATGAAGCCATGAACAAGTCTTCAGAGAAAAGATACAACCTCATAGTAAACTCATCTAGCATGTAAGCAGATATACGAGATTGATACTGCCTTTATCAAACATATCTACCACTAAACGTCAACTGACTACGATCTGCAATAACCTCCTTTGAGGCCGATAAACTTTTCGTAATATGTTAGGTTCGACGAATAAGAGCAACAGTCGCGCTCGACTGAAAGGGCGAATAAGATCTTTGGCGAACCATCCACCAGGAGGAAACACAGCCACGTCCCATTTGTAAGCCTGCTGCATGCACATGGCTTTTGACCTAGGTTTTGGGGGCTAGTATAATGAAAAGGGTGGAAACTTGACGCAAAACAACGAACAAATACATTTAGGTGAAAACTGAAGCTACTAAGCAAGCGATATGCTTTTTAGAGTCAACTGTTTTATATATCCAGAAAAGTAAAGTGCGTAAAATTTATTACAACTAGCCCAATGCAAGTAATCAACTAATTATCTTATCGGACCTAAAACCATAGTGGGGCTTACATAATCAGTATAAGCAAGAATGCAACATCTTCGAAGATCATAGTAATATTGAACAAAGCAAATGCACAGTAGAAAAATTCATGAATATTTCGCTGTTTATGTAAATATTCAGGTATATGCTCAAATATTGGCGTACAACAAAGTGTATATAGTTCTGAATTTTAATCTTATATTTATGATCCACCTGTTTGTGTTTGAAAGACTTCAATAGTGTCGTTCTCTTCCATCTCCAGCTGAAAAGAATTATATATACATTTGGTCAAAAACCAAACCCACCGAAGCAGGCGTGTCAGTATCATGTACATTATTCCCATCAAAAATGAACCTCACACTAGGCTGCTTCAAGCCCTGAAACAAATATTGTTTGTACATAATTAGTGCTAACCAGCCTTTCACAGTAAGCCATCATAAGCTTCCTTAAAGGAGTATTCTTCTTTATCTTGAAGTGAATGATTGAGCCTTCTTGCCCCTGAACTTTGATATTAATGTGCTCCGAAGTAATATCCTAAGTATGAAACACAGCTTGATAACCACCACACAAAAGAAATACAAAAAGTACTCAGACCACGATCATACCTTATTAACAGTATCAACCATCCTGACCAATGTGCAGCTTTTCGCGGTTTAAATGATTCGAATGGTTAGGGGTACACATGCAAACAAATTCCCTGCATATACCTAAGTCCAATTATAAATATCTTCTCCATCAGTGATTTCCTATTCCTTTAACGTATTCAGTTCACTATCTCACAGGGATTATCAAAAAGCAATGTTTCGCAAGGAAAGCATAAATGAGTAATTCCTGATGCCTCATCATCGTGGAAACCAGTAAGGAGTGAAGTGGCTCAAAGTGCTATTTTAGGTGCATTTCTCTTCCTGCACAACAAGAGCGAATTCATGAGAACAGACCAAAGAAACCCACGAGAGCACTTGAATAACGACAGTGGCTGAACGAAGTGATCTAGGTAACAATCAACCATGACCTTGAAAAGCCAGCAAGCTTATGAGTGTCCGCTGCCATAGGCTTCCGAATCCTGTGTTGTTTTGAAAGGCATTCTAGAGCTTTGATTATAAAATGCTTCAAGTCTTATGTTCATTATCTGCGAAAAATAATTGGACTACGAGATTCAGCCAGTGAGAACTTGTTTCAAGTGTAAAGGTGAAATATTTGAATCGATTCAGTGAGTAGGAACCAAGATGGTCAAAAGGTTCTCCAACTTCTCCTACGGAGAAAGATCAGGTCGGTAAGATATTTTCCTACTATCTTACCACAGGTTCAGAGCTGACATCATTTCAATGCATCTCACTCACATAATCACTTGGCTTTTCGATTCCTCCCTACTACAACTATTCATCTTAGACGATGTCATCTAAGAGTTCACAAATGCTGCCTAAATGCCAATGTATGGTACTCAGTTTTCCACATGAAGTTGCGAGGCAATGCAATTCTCCATAGAAGTATTTGATGTCCTCACCCCCTGCTGATACCTTCAAAGCCAGATCATATTTCTACAGTACTACTACTACCGTCAAAGATCATTATGGGTCACGAGCCTGCCATCCTCATTCCGGAAAACTGAAAACGAATATCTTGGCTCAATACATGATATTGTGTTTTTCCACTTTACAGCGACGCATCGTCGGTTTTTCTAGCGCACTCTTGTTTCTAGAAAATAAGTTTATTTCCTGATCAAAGAATGCAAGCATTCAAGAGAACAGCTCAAAGTATCGGCTGTTTTTTAAATACCTCCTTACAAGTACAACTAACGCCGAAGATAAACAGCTGAACAAGAATATGGTACTTAGCAGTCCTTGATAAGTCAAAATTTCACGAGACTACATTCTTTGGGCCATCTATACCTTACTTGTGACACCTTGATCTCCAGATTAATAGTTTTGCTTGGATGGTCGCTGGTGAAGCAATGGCCATCTATCTGCATCCGTTTTTAACACTACTGATCCAACGATGATAATGCTCCCCTGTATTCTAAGATCGGAGAGCCTAGATTCCCACTTCACTGCTGGGGACGTTTTCGCTCTCACGGCAGGAATAAAAATAATTCGGTGCGTTGTAAGCAATACTTATTCAACGATGCCAGTTCAAAGGTGACTGTTTCCACCAGTTATCCACCTCACCTACTCTAATGATTACTCCATTAAAAAGACATTTAAATAAAAGCTGACAACCTTCATGCTGTCAGACCTAAAATAGTGAAAAGAAGGAAAATTACAGCAGCATAGGTGAACTGAGTCAAAGGCAGGTATGAAGATTATAAGTTGCACATGATACTTACACTTTGTGTTGACCTAGGGAACCATACGAAGTGAAACCAAGGGTGGGGAGAGCAGTAACATTTTAAAAATATGCCGTTAGCCTACTATCCCCTCTCTTACTTATTTGGAGAACTGATAGCAGTTCACATAGATGCCACTTAATCTCGTGTATCGCCCATGACCACCATGCGACACAAGATAATTTCTTGGTCGATCGCTTACTTTAGGATATACCGTTAATTTATTTCTGACCAATTTGTGGCCAGCATTATCAAGATTTAACGTTATTCACCCCTTATATTCCGTATTTCCAGCACTTTGCGAGTTTACCACCAGGACTTGCAGGTCAGTCCCCATGACTACTGAAGTGGTGATGCGCGACGTAGTGGAATAACTTGGGGCCCATGGGTATAACAATGCGATGGATCTCGGTTTCTTTACGTTAATCCCCCCAGAAAGAGTTTGAAATCCAAGCTCATTTTCTACCATCTAACACTACTTGCTTCAGTATGAGAAACTGACAGACATAAAGCTCTCGTGTCTAGTTCCTGGGTTTGGCCCTTATTGGTTGGTGATTCTTCTACTGTAGGGAGGAAAGCCCCTTCTTCAGTCTTACTCTCAACTCTGATCACGTGAGTTTTATACGGCGATTTGAGTTTTGAACTCGTAGATTGGATCGGTCGGGAAGCTGGTTGAAGAGGAACTACACAACAATGGAAAATAATTATACGGAATGTTCTTGGAGTCTGGGAGTAAGTCGACTAGACGCTGACAGTCTTAGAGATGCCGAAAACCGGGTGGGAAAAGTAAAAAAAAGCAAATGGTAAACAATACAAAAATGAGTTTTTATGATTGGGGGCCGAATAGGCTTAGTCGAAAATTTAAAGAGTAAAGTGCTGCCTTGTGAGTCTTGCTGACAAGCCTTTGGAACCGATTTGTCTTTCACACCCTTCTTTAAAATATTTCACTCAGGAGAGGGTGATTACGTCCCTTGGTAAAGGCCTTCATAAAGCTCACGCCCTTGAGGAAAAGATAGTTGAATGTGGGCCTTGGACTGACATCCTGAAGAACTGTTTTACTGAGATCCCCCGCGGTAATCACTAAGCTGCTCTTAAGGTGCCCCTGTTAGCAGGGCCTAGATGTTAGATGATCCAATTACCCATGATATTACGGATTAAATTGGTCACCAAAAGCGAACTACTGATCACCTGTCTTCACCATTTTTTCTCCAATACTGGGGGCTCTCGAGGGTAGTCCTCATATGCATACCAGATCTTCAGGTTGAATGGACAAGACCAATTCAGCTGAAATATGTAGACATAGATTGTCCCGTATGCGACTTTTGGTGCATGTTATCGAACTCAATAACAAAGGGCCTCCGAAACAATTTTCGCAGCCTTATTTGCTACACTGTTCTACTTTGAACTTGTGTGTGGGATTACCAAAATTGTGTGCTTTCTTACCCTTGTTTTCTAGTATAGTGGGAGCACGCGTATTCCTTTTTTCCCTTCCAGTAAATTTATTTTGCGTTTTTCATTACTGACCCGTTCTAGGTTGTCGTAATTTGCCGTTCGTCGCAAAAGTCTCGTTTCCCTCTGCTCAGTTTTGTTCTGACCTGTTCATGCTCGCCTAGCAAAGGTACTATTATGGTTTTGATTCTACTACCTGGTTGAGACATTGTTGTCGTTCGATTCAACTCTCGTCAATACCTTTTTTGAAGAATATTTGTGTTTTGTTGTGGGCACTCATGTAAGGAATTTCTTTGAAATCACTTTTGTAGGAAACGACTAAAAACGCTTCAGTAGTCAAAACTACTCATAAAAGTACCAATTTACTTGTCATCCAAGTATCAAAACTCAAGAGCTACACTTAATCTCGTTGCTGGGGCGGCGTTCGAGGCCGGTGGTCTTAGACCAACCACGTGCTCTCCATATGAGCTAATACTTTTGTCACAAAGAAGATCCTGTTGATTCTACAGCGTCATTGCGGCTTCCTTCAAGGTATTTTCCAGTCATGTATTGCATTGAGAATAAACAGGGCCATAGATATAACAGCGGCAATCATGTTTTGTCATCCTTTAAAGATATTCTGGCCACGCGCTACTCAAGGAAGCCAAGCGCTGCATAATGAGAGAAGCCGATCGTCTTCCTTGATCAAGCCGAAGCTTGTTCTGAACCGCAGACTGCGTTCTATTCAGAATAGTTCCATTTCATCCACTACAGAAAGCTATATTAACTGGATGCAAGGAAAAATCAGGCCTGACGAGAAGGATGAAGGGTCCGCTCGATGCCTCATATCAACCACATGGAATGTCGCACTCCGGGATCAAGTGAAATTATTGCACGGTTATTTACAGTAACATGAAGGCATCTGATAGGGTTCGAGCAGAGCATATCCAAGGAAACTTTACTCGGCGCCTGCTCACACATAACGAAGGACTTTCTTACGAAGCAAGGTGCAAAAAACTAGAACCAGAATCACATGGCTGAGATGCCTGAAACCCAACCCAACCTTTAATTTTTGTAGTTTGTTTGGAAAATCTAAAATGAACCGTGCTATTACTTTTAAGTCAACACTGGCATGTAGTCTGCGTAATAGCAAACACATCATCCCAATAAATAGGTATCGCTCACAACTTCGCAGTACAGTATGCTGTGGAACAAACTTCCCTCTCCTATACGAGCATGTCTATCTCTCGGCTAGTTTCAACGATTACTCAGTAAATTCTTCCTATCCGATGATTCTCACCAATTTGTTGACGTCCAGATCATCATGTACAATGGTGCTACCGGTACCTAGGCTCAAGGGAGACTGACAGCAGTGACAAAAGTGTAAAATACCAAAAACTAAACTCATAGATTAGGATGAAATCTGACTTAAAAAGAAGCTGACCAAGAGTGGACAGGAAGCGGAGTATGATACGGTTTGCAAGCGTATTCTAGCTACTCTGATGTAACCTCCATTTCTTTGTAGCCCAGCTTATCTCTCGACTTAACACCTATTTCTTAAAATTCTCCTCTTAAAGTAATCTCTGTACCCTAATTTGTAAATGAACTGCTTGTCAGTGGATCTTCTTAGCATGTAACATGTCATATTATCTGCCCTTTGTTACCAGTGCATACACCTAAGTTCTCTGCACCACCTTATCGCTTCTGTAGCCCTGATATGGTAACACTCAACGGGCAACACCATGGTTGTCCCTCCCCCATGACCATATACAGCGTGGTTACCATCTTGGCAAAAACCATGAATTTCATTTAAATGTTTATAAGTTCATTAAATCTTTGTGTGTAGGTTTTCTACGTATAAGCGAACGCCTGGTCCAAAATTCTCTAATCTCTCTACTCCACAGTGATATTTTCGGCTTCAGTTTAGTTTACACCACCT